CTGCGGCCCAACGCTTGACAACGACGACTCCCCAACACTGCCGGCGTAGCATAACGACCCTGGTCCTCTCCCGCCGGACGTCGGAGAAGACGAAGTAGGTGGAAGCACGCATCCATGCGACATGTGGAATGCTGGAGCAGCGCGTGGCACATACACCCATGAAGGGGACGCGACTGCGGAAGACGGAATCACCATCGGACCTGTCTGAGTGAGGAGGTGAGGCGGCGGAGCAAAGGCGGAGATGATCGGGTTCCTGATATAAGAAACGGCTGCGTTTCGACTAGCTTGCATTTGTGCACGCTTTAACTGTTGACGTTCTTTCTTATGTGCGTTCTGATGTCCGCCTAACGCTTGTGAGTTAGCGAACTCGCGGCAACAGTATTGACACTCGTATTTCCGGCCGTCGGAGGAGGGGAAGCCGCCTCCGCCGGAGTCTGATGATCCCGATGGTGTTTTTGTGGATTCCACTTCTTCGTCTTCCGATACATTGAACCCAAAAAGCTTTAACCTTGTTGTCGTATTGTTTGTGGGCTTAGCTTGATAGTGATCAAGATCAAGTTCAGCCATATTATATGTATATATAATATAGATATATATACGTATGTGTTTGTATATATATGAAAATGAATCTATATATATAGTATATAGATAGATATATATTAGATATGGGTTTGATGTTGAAAGAGAGAAAGAAGGTGTACTAGGAGAGATGTTGCATGGGTAATGGTATTTATAAGGGAAGAGAGATACCAAGAACAGAAGAAAAAGTTGAGTGTAAATTTAGGAAGAGGACCCGACAACACAAAAACGGGTCCCACATTAGATGCACTTGTCTATTGGCCATTCTGTTCTTCACTCATAATTCAATCATATATAAACCAATTATCTTATTTATTTTACTTTCTTAATTAATAAACTCACTAAAATAAGAATTTTAACTTAGATTAATATTTCGTTATATTTGTATGAGTTGATAATAAAGACATGATTTGTAAATATAATCAAGCTAACATTTTTACATTAATTAGGATATTAAAATATTATTTATGTGCATTTGGTGGATTTATATTGAATATCTTGCTTACCAATTGACCTAAGAACCAATTAGGACCTAAATGGCAAAAAAATGTTATACAAAATGAAAATTAGTGAAATTAAGTTTTATATATTTTGTTATATATATATAAAGGAAGAAAGGTTGGAAGAAGTAGTGTCCAAAATTGAAGGGTAAAAGAAAGGGTTAAAGAATGTGATGCATGTGATTGTTGTAGGGTTGTTGAACTATCAAATGATTGATTTCAAAATTGTCCAAATTTTATGCCATTCACCATGTTACTACTACTTTTGAAAAGTTGGTTTAGCCATCAAACATTATTATTAAATTCTTATAAAAATTTATATAAAATTTTATGAGTACTTTCAATAACATTTTTTAAAGTTTTAAGATTCTATTTTTGGATCGGAAGTGAGCACCGGAGATATAAACTTTTACTGCTTATATACTTGATATATTTATATAGTAATTATTTTAAATTGTTGATTTTGATAATTTACTTTTTTTGTTTTTATATAATATTAAATATAAAGAAATGGTAGTAGTTTGTAATAAATCTTTAAGCACAAAGATAATTAAATGTTTCATATATTTGTAAATCTATATATATATATATATATATATATATATATATATATATATATATATATATATATATATATATATATATATATATATATATATTTGAATTTTCAATTAAATACGACTATAATTCTTCCTTTTTCATATTAAATAAGATGTAATTTTTAATATATGAATGTTTAAATTGTAACAAAGTTTTTTAAATAGAAGTATTATTGTATTTTTGTATGGATAAAATATAGGAAAGCAGCGTCGGTCGAAAACTTAATAACTCTAAAAATGGCCCCACATTTCAACATCATATCCATCTTCCGTATCTACATCTTCACCACACCCAACCCTAAGCGACCCCGCTTTATAACCCCTATTATTGTTAAGAAAAAAATCTAAATTTTAATCTTTTGGTGTGTATATTTTTCAAGAAAAAGGTTTATTTTTTTATATATGTTTTTTAAAACCAGCTGAAATCTAAAAATCGAAAAGAAAATGAATGATTTTATGGTTTGTTTTGGTTTTGGTATTTTATTTTTATGATGATATGAATGATTTTTATATGGGATTTAGGTATTATGTATGAAATATAAATACATGGTATCTGAATGTTCAGGTGGTGTTTGGACCCACCGAAAGATGGTTTTGCGTGATTGACGTTGAGATGTAGCAGAGGGAATTTAATAAGGTTTCCCAAAATCTACCCGAATCTTACTAACTACTCCTCACTTTCTTTTTTTTATGCATCAATTGAAACCACTTCCAAAGTCTTCACCACAACTCCAAACATGACCCACCTTTGTTCCCTTCTCTTACTTTTCTTCTTCATATATATTTTTTAATCTTTAATAAACGTTTCCATGACTACATGTTTGGAATAAGTGATAAATGTAAAAGAGTTTGTAGATTTAAATATTGGTTTAGGTTTGATTTTTGTTTAAGGGTATAAACTTTAGATTTTGTGATCATAATTGTTTAATGGTAGTCGGATGGGAGAGTTTATGAACGAAGAACATATATCTATTTCTTTTTTTTTACACGATCTGTCATCTCAAAGTTTAAGTATATGTGATTTGAATATACGACAACTCAAAATCAAAATGACTACCAATTTTGTGCCCACAAAAGATCGTAGCCTCCCGAGTTGGTCAATCTAGCTCTTCATCTTTAATGCCAACGAATTGACTTTCCTCTATTTTGCATACAAACATTCCGCTATTTTGCATACATGGAAAGTTAATTTCAAGTTAAGCATATCAAATGCTATAAAGTTCTTAAAATCCTTTTACAAAATCTTGTAATTGCCACCATGTTCATACTTTTCACTATTTTATGCATAAAAAGTTAAAATAATTATGACCCATATATATATATATATATATATATATATATATATATATATATATATATATATATATATATATATATATATATATATATATATATATATATATATATATATATACTATGATGCATGGAAACTTCTCTAAGGTTGCCGTTTCCGTTTCCGAAACTCCATGGAAACTCCTTGGAAACGTTTCTTGGAAGTATCGGATATCATGGAAACGTTTCTGTGAAGTTTCCTTGAAGTTTCGATGAAGTTTCCTAGCCGTTTCTATTTTATTTTAAGGTTTACATGGGCTTTTTAAGTTTAAATCTAAAAAAGACTAATGGGTTGTTTTTAAGGCTCAAAAGGTATTTGGTATTCCCTTAAGTCCCTAACCGATCGTCAGTCAAAGTCTCCCCTGTCGTGAGTCGTCTCCTGTCTTCTCAATCAAAGACGATTACTCGATCACAATTCATTAGGATCGTCAATCATCATTCATCACCACTCTTGATTCTCTTAATTACTGATCACATCATCGATTATGACTTCTCAACAAACACAAGGATCATCAACTACATCAATAGATCAACCTTTATTGCGGGACTTGACATCAATATATATATATATATACACACACACACACACACACACACACAATTTTATATTGACGTACCTCTGCCGTATCTGTATCTTGATTTTTTGGGTTTTGCCGTTTCCCGTTTCCGTTCCGTATCTGTTTCTCATTACCATATCCGTTTCCGTGCAACTTAGTATATATATATATATATATATATATATATATATATATATATATATATATATATATATATAGTTAGGTTCATTTGAGACCACCTATATTTTGTGAGACCGTGAGATGCATATTTTTTTATTTATTTTATTTATTTTTTATTTTTTTTAGTTAATTCAAGTTCCAAAAATAATATTTAAAAAAAGAATTTTTGGATTTTTTTCATTTATTTTGCATTTTAAAATTATTTTTTAAAATATGTACAGTATAATATTCTATTAAAATATTTCACGTATTTTAAACAAAAAAAATGAGATTTTTTTAATTTTTTTAATTTTTTTTAGTTAATTCGTGTTCCAAAAATAATATTAAAAAAAAAGAATTTTTAGATTTTTCCATTTATTTTGCATTTTAAAATTATTTTTTATAATATGTACAGTGTAATATTATATTAGAATATTTCATGTATTTTTCAAAAAAAAATGATTTTTTTTAAAAAAAAATTTTGATTTTTTTTAGTTAATTCAAGTTCCGAAAATAATATTTAAAAAAAGAATTTTTAGATTTTTCCATTTATTTTGCATTTTAAATTATTTTTGGAATATGTCAGTGTAATATTCTATTAGAATATTTCACGCATTTAAAAAAAAAACGGGATTTTTTTTTATTTTCTTTTATTTTTACCTTTTTTTTAGTTAATTCAAGTTTCGAAAATAATATTTAAAAAAAGAATTTTTCGATTTTTCCATTTATTTTGCATTTTAAAATTATTTTTAGATTTGATCTCACGGTCTCACAAAATTAGAATTGTCTCAAATGAACCTGAACATATATATATATATATATATATATATATATATATATATATATATATATATATATATATATATATATAGGGTTAGGTTCATGTGAGACCACTTGATTTTGTGAGACGGGGAGACCAAATCTTGACCACTCATCCTAAATAATCAAAGGCTGATATTAATTCAGATTAAACCATAAAATAAGCGGTGACAATTTTGTAAATTAATGAAACTTTGGGATTAGATCAAGACACGGAGGGGCATGAATGGAATTTTGCATTCTTTTTCTTTCAACACACAAAAACACCCGGTATGAACCCTAAAACCCATTTGATCCAAATCTCGATCATCGTTCTGCTTCCAAATCTCGATCATTGTTTCAGACTCTGATTATGATTATACCTGAAATTCATCTTCCGATTCTTACACGAAAGCCAATCGATAATCAACCAGAACATTAAAAACCTTTTGATTTTGAATTTGATATCGAATCAAATGGCTCATTCTACAGATGCTGATTCTGATTTTGTATCAACAGCTGTTCCAAGTAAGTATAATACTACAAACCTCTTGTTCTTACTCAATAAACCTATCTCTTCTTATTATAGAAAGTTTTTTCACTTTAAATCGTTGTGTGTATTCAATAAATGTCTAATAATCGAGATAGTTCACTAGCGATTTATATGTCGAAGTCAGGATGTAATGGAATATAACATTATAAAGCATACAATCTAAACCTAAATCTCAGTGTATGATTTATATAGAGTCTATGTATCTAAATGTTAACTCTACAGAGTGTTCTAATTATTCCCTATTTCATTTGATCTAAATATTCTTAATCAAAATCAGCAAAGATGTTATGTTATTCTAACTAATTGCTCATCATTTAATTAGATTTAGATCCATAAATTGTCTAATACTATTGACTTTGGTAACACAAATCTCTTATTATGATTGTAGTATAGTGTTTAGCCAAAAAAAATCTTTGTATTCTAGTTAATTTTATGTTGATTGATAAATAGAAATTTGTTGTTATGTATTTATAGAACTGTGACCAGATTATATATCATAAACTAATATGAATTCTAATGGAATTTGTTGTTATTGATGCAGCTAAAAAAGTGCAAACAAATACAACTGTAAGAAAAACAGGGAAAGAAATTTATATCGATATACATATAAATTGTGATTACTTTTAGATTAAATATTATAATTGCTTTTATTAACCTCTAAATGCTTTTAATAAATATTATAATTGTTTTTATTTGATAATTTTCTTCATACAGATTCAGCAAGTCAAGATAGGGTTAAAAAATATATGAACACACTTTCTTTCAAATAATTCATAAAAAAAAAAAAACAAATGTTTGGATTTATTTTTCTAATTGATTTTAATTGTTAAATTTCATGACAAGATTTGCAAATTGTAAATCAAAAGAAAAAGAAGACAGATCTTATGTTGATTGATAAATAGAATTTGTTGTTATGTATTTATAGAACTGTGACCAGATTATATATCATAAACTAATATATTCTAATTGATTTATTTTTCTAAGTTAGTTATTCTGAATATTCTAATTTTGTTTTATCATATATTGTAATTGATTTTAATTGTTAAATTTCATGACAAAAGATTTGCCAATTCTAATGGAATTTGTTGTTATTGATGTAGCTAAAAAGTGCAAACAAATGCAAATATAAGAAAATAGGGAAAGAAATTTATATCGATATAGATATAAATTGTGATTACTTTTAGATTAAATATTATGATTGCTTTTATTAACCTCTAAATGCTTTTAATAAATATTCTAATTGTTTTTATTTGATAATTTTCTTCATACAGATTCAGCGAGTCAAGATAGGATTACAAAAAGGTATGAACACACTTTCTTTCAAATAATTCATAAAAAAAAAAAAAAAAAAAACGTTTGGATTTATTTTTCTAAGTTAGTTATTCTGAATATTCTAATTTTGTTTTATCATATATTCTAATTGATTTTAATTGTTAAATTTCATGATAAAATATTTGCAAATTGTAAATCAAAAGAAAAAGAAGGCAGATGAAGGAAAATCAAAGAAAAAAATTAAAAAAAAAAAAAACGATATTACTTCTGAAAGCGACTCTGATTCTTCTTCTGATTCATCCTCACAGCATAGAAAAAGAATTAAAAAAAGGTATCAACAATCATTCTTTAAAACACTTAACAAAATAAATTTTTTGGATTTATTTTTTTGAGTTGATTATTATGAACATTCAAGTTGATTAAAATAAATATTCTAATTTATTTCAATTTTTAAATTTCTTCATATAGCTAAAAATACAAAAAAGAGGAAAAGACTTTAAACTAAAAAAAGACACTATGTTTCAGATTCTTCATCTTCACAGTCAGAGACATCAGAGTTAGAGACATCCACAACAGAGAGTGATGAATATGGTAAAATATGTTGTCTTTTATAATATATATGTTGACATGTAAAAAAAGTATATTATATTTTTCTAATAGAATAATTATTGATGCAAATAAAGTAAATAAAAAGAAAAAAAAAAAGTCAAAAAACATTTCAAGCGCCACAACAAATTAATCCATAATGATGTGAAGCACAAAAAGAAAAAACATCTTTCTGATTCTTCAACAGAATCGGAGACAGAATCATATACACAGTCAACGTGTAAAATAACTAAACTTTTTTTCGTGAAATATGATTTTATACTTTACAATTTCAATATTATGGAACAATATAAATATTAGAGTGTTTCGAAGAATAGTTTTCATAGACTATGTTTGACATGAATTGCTTATGGATCATAACTGAAATTCTTGGTATTTTGATGTGAAAGTATTTTTCTATTGTTTATTGATGTGAAAGTATGTTTCTATGATATGAAATATTTATGGTTCATATTACACATTCTATATATTATTACATCATAAATCATGTTATACTTGATTTTTTGTTGTTTTACTTAGCTGATATAGGATTTTGCAACATTTGAGTTTAATTTTTTATAAATAATATAATTTGAATAAATATCTACATTTTACTTAGATGATATAATATTTTTGGATTAAATTTTATAGAATATTCTGATATAATAAGTGTATATGTATAATATTATGTTTGGAATATTACTTTGTAATTAAAGGATATATATTTTTGGATTTTTGTGGGGTTACTAACATCTATGACTGATGTAATGAATTAGATGATGAATCAGATGAAGAAATCTATGTAAAAAAGAGAACCGGTGATAGAAAATATGTTGAAGGAGTGATAAATATTAAAGAAGCAAAAAGGAAGAGGAATAGTGGGGACAATCGTGCAGCAATAAAGAAACAAAAAACCGTGAAAGAGCAAAAGACTGTGAAAGATATATTGAAGGAGTTGCCTTCAATAAACACTAGATCGACACCTGGATTGATGACAGATGTTGTAAGTTCTTTGACATCAGAACAAAAAGATTGGGTGAAACGGATGGGATTTAAAGCATTTTTGAAGATCAACATTAGGAGTATTCCCTTAAAACTTTGTCATTTTGTGCTTAAGCATTATGATAAAGGCACAAACAGTAATCTGATTAAAGGAAAAAGAATAAAGATCACAAAGGAAAAAATTCATAAAGTGTTTGGTTTACCCAAAACTGGAAAAAGCTTATTTGACTTGGACAAGGTTAGTGAAGATCATTAAGTGTTTGATGGATGGATGAAGGAACTTGAAGACGGAAGGAAAATGCAACGAACTACAAGATTATTCAAAAATCCGAACAAGTGGATATGAATTTCATGTTGGGTTTCATAGTTTTATTTGTTAATACGTTTGCAGAATCCATTCATATGGGGACAAACAACTTAGTTCCAGTTAGAGCACTTGTTGAAGTAAATGACATTTCTAAAATCGATTGGTGTGCATATTTGTTGTATTGTGTAAAAAATTTAAAAGGTAGATGGCATCCAGACAACCCCAAGTGTTATTATAGAGGCCCGATGTTGTTGCTATTGGTATGTTTTTTCATATACTTATTTTTTCTAAAGAATGGATATCTAATATGATGTTGAAATAATGCAGCTAATTTACTGTGATGAAATTGAATACAAGCTCCAAAAAATAGAACGTAAAACACCATTAGTTACGATGTGGACAGCAGATAAGTTGAAGGAAAGACAATCTTTTGAGATTGAAGCTGGTGGATTTGTGGTTGGGAATCTAATTGAACAAAGTTCAAATTTAGAACGTGAGAAGAATGAAAATCAGGTGAATGAGAATCAGGACACACGTATTGAGGTATATTCTAAGTAGAATATATTATTAAATTATGTTTTAGAATATATTTTAATTATATCCTAACTTAATATAAGAAAAATATTCTAATGTCTTTTTTTCCCAGGAGTATGAAAAAAATTTCAACAATGTCTCAACTGAAAAGAATGATATGGAAGATATTATTTTTCATTGTCTATCGAAGTTCCCTGAAGACAATAGAGCGAAGGAGATGATAAGAAAGTTTAGAGACATATTTTCAACTACACTTTTTTCTAGTCGAGAGAAATCAGAAACTATTAAGGAGAGAACTGAAGTCAAAGCAGATAGAGATGAAGAGCTTAATAAAACAAACATTTCTGATTCTGATGATGATAAAGATGAAGGAATGAATACAAAGTTGGTTGCATTTTTAGCTGTTAAACCATTACAACAGAAGTTTCCAGAGAATGAAGAAACACAAGAAGAAGATCAAGATATGAATGTTTATGACCGAATAAATTTGGGTTTTGAGAATAATATTGGCGAGGAAACGATTAGACATCCGCATAATCCAGAAAGACAAATAGAATTTGAAGGCATAAATGTTGATGACAAAATAAATTTGGCTTTAGAGGTGAATAATATAGACGAGACTATTGGAAAGAAGAATTTAGAAGACAATGTTGAGAGAAAAAATCTTGTTAAGGGTGGTGAAATGATTGGTGGGGGAGAATATTAGGAAGGGGAATATTGTAGAGAAGGTGATTGGAGACAACATAGGTGAGAGCTCAATTGTTACACCAAAACACAATCCAAAAGGTATATCTATTGATTTTTCCACTTGGTCTGATTCATTCACAGAAAAAATGGATGAGGATTTGCTTAGAATATTCTCAAACAAAAATCCATATTCAAATACAATTCAAAATCCAGTTGTCAGATCTCATGTTCCAAAAAAGCTAACATTTGAAAATTCAGAATTTCCTTCCTTTAATCTTCAAATAACCCAACTAATGAACGATGCAGAAACTGGTGATAATTCTGAGGGTAATGATGAAGATGGAGAATTAGAAAGGAATGAAGAGCATATTTTAGATGAGAAAGGGAAAAAGGGTCAGAATGTTAACGTATAACCATGATGCGATACCCTATTGAATGCTGAATTCTCACTTTCCGACCGAGAAGTTGTTCTCATTAGACCTGACATCGGTACCTCTTTAAAATAGGCTGGAATCCAGCTGCTTCTCAAATTAAACATATCTTTCATCCATTTATTGTCTTGCAACTTATATTTTACCATTAATGCATCCCATCTTATTTCAAAATCATTGACAACAATTTTGGAGTCCCATACTATACTATTGAAGTCCGCCTTAAAATCCGATTCATTCATTGTTTCCCAGCTTACCTTAAAAAACAATTCATATATTATTTTATTAGAATATAATATAGTATAAAAAGGCATTTCATTTAATCTATTATCCTAATTACAAAAAATATTTCATTTAATATTCTGATAAGAAAAGAACAATAATGTCATATTTATATTGAAAATAATGTATTATAATATTTCTATTGTTCTATATGTACAAACAGAAAAATTATTGGATTCTTCAATACCTTTCGTTGAAAGATCCCGACTTTTTGATGAGGCTGTAAACAATTACTTATATGACATCAAAAGAAAAATGGATTTCAATTCTATTAATCTGGTATGTATTTTTGATTACAAGATAACATATTCATATTAAAATTTATAAAAATTCATTTGTATTTATGTTTGAACTACAAGTGTTTTTTCCAATACACAACCGTGGTCATTTTTATTGTATTATTTTCAACCTTACAAATCGAGAACATATAATCATTGATAACATAAGATACACCAAAAAAGTAGAAGATGTCTATGGAGAGATTCCTAAACTTGTGGTAAATGTTTCTTGCATAAATCTAAAAACTTTATTTTAATCATAATTGTTTACTTTAAAAAACCACTCTGTATTAGTAAATAAATTCTGATTAGAATATAAAATATAATATTTAAATTCTTATAAGATTTATTTACTTAATATAGTTATCATTTTAGAAAAATAATGGTATTTTATTAATATGCATTGCAGGAAATGTACTTTACAAAGTTTTTGGACAACAATTGGCGGGATAAGGTTTCTTTGTTTAAATCTATGAAGCAAAAGAAAATGAAAATGGCATGACAAACAAAAACTAAGACAAATGATGATAGTATATTTTTGATGAGGCATATGGAAAAATACATGGGTGAGAAAGAAGAAAAATGGGATGTGGAACTGGGAGAAGAAAGTGTTAGGACATCTAAGAAGATTGCAAAGTTGCGTACATTTTATGTTTCTAAGCTAACAAACCATCAAATCAACAAGCAGAGAAAATTAAATGTTGCAGAAGCATTGGAATTTTCCAAACTTGATAAGAAAACTAGGTGTATGTTGGTGAAAGAAGGCAGTGAAGCAAGAGACAATTTAGAAATTTTGAAATTTTGAAATTTTCTTATATTGGCCTATTACATACATACATTTTATTTTCTATTTTGTTTTTTTTTTCAAATGCTTATGTTTGAGGATATGCTTAAACCATTGATATTTTGGTAAATGATATGCTTAAACCAGTTAGTTGGTATCTTAATAAAATATTTACTGCTTAATAGTAAATGATTTATAGCGTTTAAATTTTTTGTTTGATGATGCCTATTTATTTGATTAAAAAATTGTTTGGTAAAATGATAAATGATTAAAACACACATATTGTTAATATTGTATTAAGCTTATTCTAATTTTTTTATGTGAATTATTCTGATTATTCTGGTTTCATTAAAATACTTAATAATAAAACGTTTTAATATAATATGTAATTTTGTTTTACAATATTTTAATAAAAAGAATAAATGAAATTAGATTTAGTATCATGTTACACGAATAAAAAAATTACGATAATAAAATTTTAGTATACTGTAGAAAAAAAATACATTGTCTTTATTAGGAGAAGTAAAATTTTAGAATAAATGAAAATATTTGTTTTAGAATATTTGTAATCAAGTAATTTTATTTTACAATTAAAATAATATTTGAACCAAACTGTAAGTTTTTAAACTAAAAGGGACTAAAAATACTATGACTTATTTTCCAGGGACGAAAAAGGGACAAACGTAATAACTTTGAGATTTTATACTTATACACGATGGAAGAACATTAAAATAAAAAAACTTAATTTCTTCATCTGTATTCTCAAAACCCACTTCCAAAACTTCTTATCATTTTCGGTTTTAAACACTCCATCAAAACCCTAACTTCTTGTGCTCTTGAACTCGTCATCTTCGATTTCTCCCTGTATCAATTTCATTTTTCGATGTTGTGAATCCGATTTTCACTTGATAACATCAATAAAACCCTAAACTTACTTAATTTCATTATTATCGAGTATTTCTTATCAACAAAAATGGCTACATCAACACGTGCTTCAGAATCTACACCATCAGATCACCTAAATGCCATTATTACCAGAACTTCTCAAGAAATTCCAGGTATTTCAATAGTTCTGTTAATTATCATTTATATCCTTGAGTCCGTTTGAAAACGGCGATATAGCTTTGAGAATTGAACTTCTATTGTTCCTCCAGTCTCCATATCTACATACTAATAATTAGGGCATCGGGCTCTTGTTTCTTAGTGAAATACTCAGCACAAACAATGAGACAAAGGCTTCACAGCTGAGAATATGAGCGTTTTTGTGTTGTTTGAGTATGTATTTATAAGAAAAATATGCCCCTACTTATATTACATTTAATACATTCTTATGTGGGATTCTTTGGATTAATGATAAATAAAGCTTTAGCCTTTCATCTATTTGCAGGGGCATTCAGTTTTGATTCTAACCAAACACATTTATTTATTACTTTTGAGATTTTGTGTGTATGTGAAAAAGGAAATAGACACAAGTGCTTTCAAGGCAGATATGAAAAGAAACTTTCTCATGGTATTGGTCCTGGTGGTCTTGGTCTGAATAAGAATAATAAAGTTTTTCCATTAAACAATTGCATATTATGTCCTCTAATAATTCAGAACTTGATCTGAATAAGTATAGAACTCATCACATAAACAAAAACTAAATTGTGTAATTAACAATCAAGTTATTATATGTGTTTTCTACATTTTCTGATAAAATAGAGAGTTATCATTCCACTTTTGACATCTTACTATGTGATTCAACTTCTAACTGTTCTTTTACACAAAACTTTAATCATTGTATAAACTTTATGCATGGTTAAGTCAAGCATCACTAGGGTAAGTGGATGGAAAAAATACTATGTAAATGGACATATTCATCAATTTGCTTCTGTTTTTAATGTGTATGTATGTAATTGTGTGTATGTATTATGATGAGTTAGAATATAATTTTGAAATAAATGTAAGTGTTTTTCTATTACAGATTACAGTTAAATTGTTTTTAACATTAATTATTTCATGCAGATAATATTATAGCAAGAATGACAAAATCAAAAATAAAAATGATGACACTGGGTAGAAATAGTGAAGTTGAAACTTCAATAGGCAAACAGTTGGTTCAAAAAAGAAAATCATCGAAGTCGATCAATCAATTAACAACTATAACATCAAAAGAAAAAAAAATGTACATCATCAATTATTTATTCTAATAAAAATATTTATCTCATTTATTTCTGTTATTCTATGTATTATAATAAATATTCTATATTCTATTATTATTTTTCTATATTCTATTAATTTTATTCTAATAGAATATTTTTAATTATTAACCTAATTTGTTTCTGTTATTCTATATACTTTAATAAACTATTCTATGTATTATAATAGAATATAAAAGAATAAATGATATATTGTGTATTCTATGTTTTCTAATAAAATATTTATCTCATTTGTTTATGTTATTCTATGTATTACAATAAAATATTCTATATTCTATTAATGTTTTTCTATGTTCTATTAATCTTATTCTAATAGAATCTTTTTAAATGTTACTCTAGATATTTGGATATGATAAATCAATTATTATTTCCTAATTTGATTATGAAAATGACAATAAACAGCAAGAAGGTTGTATATGGATAAAACTCATGAAAAAACTTCAATAGCCGAACGACTAATTGAAAGAAGAAAATCATTGAAGCTTATTGATGAATCAGTCGATGCAACAGCAAAAGCCAAAGAAAAAAAAGGTATTTCATCAATTATTGTATTTGTACTATAATATCTTGTGTATTAATGTTATTCTAATAGCAAGAATATCATATATAGGTAAAATTCATATTTTTTATTATTGCTTATGCATTTACAATTAGATTTAGCAGAAGCATTTTACATCATTATGATTCTATACTTTACAACTCCAATATTATGGAACAATATGAATATTAGAGTGTTTTGAAGAATAGTTTTCATAGACTATGTTTGATATGAATTGCTTATGGATCATAACTGAAATTCTTGGTATTTTGATGTGAAAGTATTTTTCTATTGTTTATTGATGTGAAAGTATGTTTCTATGATATGAAATATTTATGGTTCATATTACACATTCTATATATTATTATATCATAAATCATGTTATACTTGATTTTTGTTGTTTTACTTAGCTGATATAGGATTTTGCAACATTTGAGTTTAATTTTTTATAAATAATATAATTTGAATAAATATCTACAATTTACTTAGATGATATAGTATTTTTGGATTAAATTTTATAGAATATTCTGATATAATAAGTGTATATGTATAATATTTTGTTTGGAATATTACTTTGTAATTAAATGATATATGATTTTTGGATTTTTGTGGGGTTACTAACATCTATGACTGATGTAATGAATTAGATGTTGAATCTGATGAAGAAATCTATGTAATAAAGAGAACCGGTGATAGAAAATATGTTGAAGGAGTGATAAAGATTAAAGAAGCAAAAAGGAAAAGGAATAGTGGGGACAATCGTGCAGCAATAAAGAAACAAAAAACCGTGAAAGAGCAAAAGACTGTGAAAGATATATTGAAGGAGTTGCCTTCAATAAACACTAGATCGACACCTGGATTGATGATAGATGTTGTAAGTTCTTTGACATTAGAACAAAAAGATTGGGTGAAACGGATGGGATTTAAAGCATTTTTGAAGATCAACATTAAGAGTATTCCCTTAAAACTTTGCCATTTTGTGCTTAAGCATTATGATGAAGGCACAAACAGTATTCTGATTAAAGGAAAAAGAATAAAGATCACAAAGGAAAAAATTCATAAAGTGTTTGGTTTACCCAAAACTGGAAAAAATTTCATCAGTGCCCCCGCTGTGACAATTTATATCCCTTGTAAAAAATTTCCAATCTATCTCTAGTCCATCAACAAATTCACATCCTCCTTTTATAACGCACATTAGCTTATATGTTGTAGTTGACCCCACCTTTTCACTCAAAAGCTTATGTATAAAAGCTTGATCAACAACATTCAACTGACGTTTAGCTCTTGAAAGATGCATACAATCTTGATTGATCAATTTGTGGTTGTGTTGTTGTTCAAAGCGCCACATGTAAACTTCTGAAAAATGTGGTATAACTTTGAATGCAACAAAAGCTTTGCAATTTGTGCGTTTACAATTACTATTTCTCAATTGCTTGTTATGATCATCACTAATAATGTCTAAGGTAGAAGTGTTTGGCAATCCCCCTCTATTGCATATAAAATATTTCGAAGTTGTGATTCCACTCTTTTTCCTCTCTGTTGATTTTCTAATATCGAAACCAGATCTTAATGCATATCCTTTATACCACTTAATAGCATCTTTGATATCTTTAAAAATTGAACCCACAGTAGGTATCCAACTAGCTTCAACCTTTGGAATCCAAAATAAAGAGCCATCAGCTCCAATGAATTGTTTGCAAGAGCCATATTGTGTTGCAACATTGTCACTTTGAACTAAAAAAAAGAATATACCACCATGTTAACATATAATCAGAATAATTTGCATTCATATGACTGTAATCATAAAAAACCACAATGTTATATGTGCATTATTCTATAAGCATAATATGCAGTAACATGAACTTATCACCAACATCATTCTATAAAGAATAACCGATATCAGTAACAGAATTACCTTGGATTTCCGATTGATTTCCATCATTATGCAAAATCTCTGAATCACCAGAGCTGAATTGATGATTTTCTTCATCGTAATGATCATTTCCGATGTCATTCATATCTAAATCATACATAACTGTTACTACATTAAAAATTGAATATGTTATATGCAACTAACAATGAAAGCAATGATTACCTTGGGTTTCCGATTGATATTCCTCGTTATGAAGAATCTCTGAATCAGTAGAACCGAACTGATGATTTTCTTCATCGAGATGATTGTTTTCGATGTCATGCATATCCAAATCATCCAAAACTGTTATCATTATTGATATATCAATGTATGTACAATATTCAATAAGAATAACATGTAGTCTCATGAACTTATCACTAAGATGATGTTAATGAAAAGCAAATAGATGATGTTAATCAAAAGAATACAGATGACATATTGCTGAAAAACATAATGATTGAATGAAAGTTAAAAAACAAACAATGAAATAGATGATGCATTGTCAAATAACATATTATAGATTAAATTGTTTTCTAGCTCAAACAAATTCAACAACAAATGATCTTTGATTGCTGAATTGGATGTCTCAACAACAGATGATGTTTGATTGCTGAAATCACAAATCATACAAATATAAAATTGGAGAAATCGATAATAGCTTGATGATTCAATTCATGAAATAGGTTAAAAATTGAATATGTTATATGCAACTAACAGTGAAATCGATGAAAACTCAAACCTTGATCAATTGACGATTTCATGATGTTGAGTAAAATTCACGACTTGAAAGATCGTAAACAATTGTTGAAGATGAAGATTAGTAGAAATCGTTGAACACTTGAACCTCTACCGAAATCGATGATCACAAAGTTAAAATTGATCAAAATCACTCAGCTTATCAATTACAGATGAAAAGGAATCAAGAACATGAACTTGAAGAACACAAAAAATCGTGAATTTAAAAGCTATGATTTAGCATCGTTCGATCAATGTCCAAATCAAATCGATTATCGGTTGAAAGAATATAAGATTGGAGATAGAATATCAATCAAATTGAATTGAAGAACAAGGAATGTTGTTTCATCGAATAAATTGGTAGAAAATGGAACAAGTGAGATGATTTCTGGATGACGTGAAAATTAAGCTAACCTGATCATCTTAAATTTAACCTATTGACTAATCTACCCCTAATTAACTCATCAGCTAGATTAATTAATGTTAATCCCTTTTTTTATGAGCCACAAGCTCAAATTTAATCAAGGGCTAAGATTTGGTCCCCATATCTCACAAAATATAGGTGGTCTCAAATGAACCTTTACCTATATATATATATATATATATATATATATATATATATATATATATATATATATATATATGCATGTGAAGCATCATGGAGAATTTTTGGTTATGATATTTATTATAGGTATACAGTTGTGGTTAGGCTTCCTTTTCATCTTCCTGGTCAACAACAAGTTACTTATGATCCAGATGATGATATCGACAATATCCTTGACAAACCGATTGTTGCATCTTCAATGTTCACATCTTGGCTTGAGTGTAACAAGATCTATAAACAAGCCCGAAATCTTACTTATGTTGAATTCCCTACAAAGTTTGTGTGGATACCTAAATCAAGGAAATGGAAAATAAGGAAAAATGGATTTTCAATTGGGAGAATTCATGCTATTTCACCTAAACTTGGTGAAGCATATTTCTTAAGAATTCTTTTAAACAAGTTCAGAGGTCCAAAATCTTTTAAAGATATCCAAATTGTAAATCGAGAAATATGTCTTACTTTTAGAGATGCATGTTATGCTTTAGGGCTTCTAGACAATGATAGGGAGCACATTGAAGCTATTAACGAAGCAAGCCATTCAACTACTAGTTATTAAATACAATAATTATTTTCAATATGTTGATCTTTGATAGTATGGGGGGACCAAAATTCGTTTAGGAAAATACGTGAGAATACCTTTTAGTCAGTATTCTTTACAATCAACGACGCCGGTTAAAGTCTCATAGTATAATACTTATCTTTTATTACTTTAACCTTTTTTATATAAACTAAATATTTGTATTTTTTTTCTAAGTATATATTTACCATTGTACAGATTTATCCCTTACTGATCATCAATTGAAGAACTTGAATTTGTTTGAGATTGAATCATTTCTACTTCTTAACAATTCCACCCTCAAGAACTCCACAGACATGCCTCACCTAGATTTTGTTTGTGTATCTTCTTCTAATTATCGTTTGATTGCCGAGGAGCTATCTTATGACATCACAAGTCTTCAAAACGAATTTTAGACACTTATTGTTTCATTAACAAATGAACAACAAGGTGTTTTTGAGGATGTCATGGCAGCAATTGAAGATAATAAAGGAGGTGTGTTTTTTGTTTATGGTTATGGTGGAACAGGCAAAACCTTTCTTTGGAATACTTTATCAACAACTATCAGATCTAAAGGACAAATTGTTTTAACTGCTCGCTTTGGTATTCCTTTAAATCTTATTGAAAATTCTATTTGTTCTATAAATCGAGACAGTAATGCCTCCAAATTATTAAAACAAACATCGCTAATTATTTGGGATGAAGCTCTGATGGTTCTTAAGCATGCATTAGAAGCATTGGATCGCACTTTAAGGGATGTTTTATGTTTTGGTAATGTTAGCAACTCACATATCCCAATTGGAGGTAAAGTAATCATATTTGGAGGTAATTTTAGACAGATTCTATTAGTTGTTTCTAATGGTAGCAGACAAGAAATTGTCAATGTGTCGTTAAGTTCTTCATATATATGGACAAATTGTAAAGTTTTAAAATTAACGGATAACATGAGGTTGACTGTTGGAAAAGATCCGTCTGAAATACAACAAACAAGGTTATTTGCAAAAGGATTCTTGGATATAGGAGAGGGAAATGTTGGTGGTTCTAATGATGGTGATGCAGTTATTTATATTCCTATAGATATTCTTATTACTCACTCTTCTGATCCTATAGGTTTATTAATTGAGTTTGTATATCCAACATTTCTTGACATCTTGAACGATCCAAAATATTTTTAAGAAAGATCAATACTTGCACCGAAAAATGAAGTTGTTCAAGAAATAAACAATCGTATGCTTTCATTGTTTCCTAGAGAAGAAAAAGAATACCTTAGTTCAGATAGCATCTGCCAAACAAAGTTTATTTATAATCAGTTTGATGAGGGTTTATATTCACTTGATGTTCTAAATGGACTTAAAATCTTCAGTTTGCCAGACCATAATTTGATTTTAAAGGTCGATGTTCCGCTATGTTACTAAGAAATATCGACCAGAAAAATGGGTTATGTAATGGTACTAGACTTCATTTGGTATCATTGGGTAATCGCGTCATAGAAACAGTGGTCTAAACTTGAAGTAACATTGGACATCGAGTTTTTATTTCAATGTTGTCTTTAACACCTTCAGACAACAAAATTCCATACAAGTTCAAAAGGAGACAAATTCTCATAGAGGTTTGTTTTGTTATGAACATAAAAAAAAAAAAAATTAGGGCCGATTGTTGAAAAAGGTTGGGTTGTTTTTGCGAGAACCGATTTTCTTACATGGTCAGTTATGTTGCTTTATCCAAAGTAAAGAGCAGAGAAAGTTATTGATTTTAGATAAGAATGGTAATTTGACTAATAAAACATCTAATGTTGTGTTCAAGGAAGTATTTATAAACCTATGTTAAATTATTATGTTTATTTTATTTATCAAATAAAGTTGTACTTACTTACCATCCACAATCAAATGCTTTTTTATATTTATTAATTTTTTGGTCCATAATTTTTTTTAACATACATCACGTGGTTTCTACGGGTTATAATCTAGTTAATTTAATGTAATTAGAATGGGAAATTTAAAATTTACAATTTAACAGTTAAAATGAAGAATTAATAGGTTGACATGTAACATGTGAGGTGACATATAATATTAATGAAGATTTCTAATATATATATATATATATATATATATATATATATATATATATTATATATATATATATATATATATATATATAGTTAGGTTAATGTGAGACAGCCTAATTTTGTGAGATCATAAAACGCATTTTTTATTTTTATTTTTTATTTTGTTTATTATTTTTATTTTTTTTAGTTAATTCAAATTCCGAAAATAATATTTTAAAAAAAATTAGATTTTTCCATTTATTTTGCATTTTAAAATTATTTTTTAGAATATGTACAGTGTAATATATTCTATTAGAATATTTCATGTATTTTTCAAAAAAAATGCATTTTTTTTAATTTTTTTAGTTAATTCAAGTTCCGAAAATAATATTTAAAAAAAGAGTTTTTAGATTTTTTCATTTATTTTGCATTTTAAAATTATTTTTTAGAATATGTACAATGTAATATTCTATTAGAATATTTCACGTTTAAAAAAAAAACATAATTTTTTTTAATTTTTTTTTTTTGGTTAATTCAAGTTTCAAATATAATATTTAAAAAAAGAATTTTTGGATTTTTCTATTTACTTTGCATTTTAAAATTGTTTTTAAATTTGGTCTCACGGTCTCAGAAAATTAGAATGGTTTCAAATAAACCTGAATATATATATATATATATATATATATATATATATATATATATATATATATATATATATATATATATATATATATATATATATATATATATATATATATATTGTGTCATTATGTAACAAAATCATAACCATTTGATCAATGAATTATGATGATTCTTTAAATAATACTACTAATGAAATGTATAGTTATTCTTAATTATTTTTTCTAAAACGGTTGTAAATGGGTAAAAATGGTCAATTTAGGTGTCATCAACTTAGAATGTCTACATATATTTTGGGAAACACGGTTTTGCATAAGTAATTATTTTTATTTCATAATTAACGTTCCTTAATTACAGATGTGTTTTCTTGTAAGAATGAAAAAAAGAAAATAAGGATATAACATAATTAAATTACAATTGTACATCTACCATTTTCATAAAATTATTGAAATAATAAACAACATTCCGGTAAGATTGAGAAAAAAATCTTTAAATAATAAGCAACATTCTGTAAATAATAAAACATAAATTAAAATTGTAGATGTGACATTCTAAAAAATGATAAAATTAAAGAAGGAACACATGGAAAATATAGTTCATGTTTTCGGAAAAAGGAAAAAGTTTACAATTACAAAATTTTCTATCTTGAAATAATATGAATAATAAAGTCATTCACAAAATAATACATTCATTTTTTGCAAAAAATAACTTTCATTTCATTTTCATCAAAATCAC